GAGGCTGAGAAAAAAATAACATGAAAATAAAGCCAAAAATACAGAACTAAGTTTTAGGACTTGAGAGGGTTTGGCAGTTAAGAGCTGAATTTGGTTCCTAGAACCAGTGTTGGGAGGTTCACAACCACCTGCAACTCCAGCTCCAGGGGATCTGCTGCCCTCTCCTGGCCTCTGTGAACACCCTCACATGTACATATACATAGATATACACACATATAAATACAAATAAAAACTTAGCAAGGAAAAATCAAAACTAGGTTTTAGGAGCTAGGAGTGTAGTTCAATTGGTACATGCATGAAGTCATGGATTCGATCCACAGGGATGTAGGAAACCACGCATGAGGTGAGGGCAGGAGAAACAGAAATTGGCTAGCTTGGGCTAAATGAGATCCTGTCCCAAACAAAACAAAAATAATAAATAATTCTAGTTTTTTTTTCCTCCCCCAAACTAGAATTAAAAAAAAATTGTGTTAGTATTAAATATTGCAGAGATTAGATTTTGAAACAAGTTTGTTTTTTCTTTGTTTGGCCATCCTGCTGTCTTCCAGCCCATTTAAAAACTGAACTTTGAAGATAAACCTCAACAAGTAGGTATTAAAGAGAATGTTCTGTCATGACCTAATTTGTTTGTGTTCTGTGCCACTCAGCAAATACCTGATACATAGTATCAGGCACTATGCTAGGAGTTGAGTAGTACTTAGAATGACAAATGAGACATGGTTTCTGTTGTCTGGCCATGTACTGGAGAGACATGGGAGTATTTATGTGTATGTAATAGCACATAATTCAGGAAACACTACAGTGGTGTTTGTGCGGGGGCTAATGAAAGCTCAGTCAGGGAAGAGGCTCCAAGAGCACTGGGGTGTGGTGGGTCTTGGCGGGGGTGGGGTGGGTGGGGTGGGGTGGGGGTGCGGGGCATAAAGGGACGGGGCATAAAGGGATAAGTGCCAACCGGACAAAGGGGAAAGGGTGTTTCACATGGCAGAAATGGCTTGAGCAAAGGCAGGGATTGGGAAACAGCTGGGAAGTGGTTTTGTGTTGCCAGTTGGCCAGTTACAGCAGCAGAGTGAGTTAAAAATTGGAAGCTTATCACAGCTCATAGAGTGCTGGGATTTTCTTTGCTTGCTGAAAATTTGCATTTTGCCACCTAGGCTTTGTGGAATCTTCAAAAAGAGGAGTTGAATCTACCTTTGGTCAGTGGCTGTAGAGTGTAGAGAGGGAGTAGTGCTGTCTTGCAATTGGGTAGTATTGGTTTGAAACTCTGTTACTACTCAGTAGGATTTGGTCTGTGGGCAGCTTTCTTTCTTCCCTAGCTTCTTGTTTGTTTAGTTACTTGTTTTCTTTGTTTTTTTGAGACAGGATCTCTCCTAAGTAGGCCTGGATTTGGTGGGCTGGGGTATGAGCCTTCCTCATGTAGTACTCACTGCTTATTTAAATGTCCTGTTGAAGACAGTGTTGATGTCAGAAAGTGAGGCGTGAACAGGAAAGCCAGTGGGAATATGGAGTGATAATAAGAGACTTGCTTGTTTGGGGCCTTCCGTGGGTCACACACTGTTCTAGGCACTTTGGAATTTGTTATTGTTTGTTGTATTGTTTGTTTTGAACTCAACCTGACGTGAGTTCAGTGGTCAGAACGGCATGTAAGAGGACAGATTTGGCCAGCTAGCCTGGAAAACACAGAGTAGCAGACTAGAGACATTGTCTGCAAGGTGGAAGGAGACAAATGGTTTCCAAAAAGTTGTTTATTGACCTCTGCATCTTGGCCACAGCATACGCACACACACTAAATAATTGATTGATTGATTAATTAATTGAAAACTTTATTTAGAGTGAGCTGTGATGGCTGAGTGGTTAAGGGGTTGGACTTGAAATCCAATGGGTTCTTCCCGCACAGGTTCATATCCTGCTCACAGCGTATGGGGATTTCACCATGGCTTTTCACCGTCAGGACAACACAACCACTTTACCACAGTGACAAACTCTGCATCTGTACCCAAATGCAGGGTGTTTTCTTGTTGTTTTTAAGTTGGAATAAAAACGTAGCTAGTTCTGTGACAACCTTGACTACACACAGAGATAAAGAAAAGAAAAAAGGAAATGCCAATGGTTACTTTAACAGTTCTTTGGTATTTAAAAAGAAGAAACAAACTAAAGACAAAGTCAAACAAACAAAACAAAACAAAAACAATTTTATTTAGCATTGAAAGTAGTGAGGAGTAACTAACATTTGGACATTGTAGGGTGTGTGTGTGTGTTGTATGTGTGTGTGTGCACGTGCCTGAATTTCAGAGACTGCATTTCATTTTAATTAGATGTTTGTTCATAATTTGGGTGGTGTCTTAGGTTGGGTTCTTGGGAAGCTGAGATATCAATTATCACACAAGACACACCTGTGGAGAGGAGGGGCAGGACACAGGATTGGGAAGAGGGAGGGGCTGAGGGGCGTCTCTGCCTACTAAGGGAGCTTTGGAAGGTTGGGAAGTAGACTGAGGGCTTTCCATCACTCCCCTCCTGCCGTTGTCTTATAGTTGGCTTCTGGCTGCCCCAACCCCTGATAGAAAGCAGGTCCTAGGGCAAGGTGGTGTTCTGGAGCCGTCTTTTGGCAGCACTGCCAGCCACTGGGGCAATGAGTTCTTCATTCCTAATGAAATACCTGGTTCAAGCATCACAGTATGTACATCACAGAAGGCAAATTGCAAAGCCTTAGAGGCTTTGTAGAACAAGATTCCCAGCATTCAGACAGGGATGACTTGTGAGCCACTAGACCCTGGCCTGGAACTTGCATTAGTTTCTTTCTTTCTTTCTTTCTTTCTTTCTTTCTTTCTTTCTTTCTTCTTTCTTTTTTTTTTCCTCTTTTTTTTTTTTTTGCTTCCCAAATGTTGGGATTAAGGATACATTAAAATGTTTAAAGTTTATTATTAGTGTGTGTGGATGTCTAAGGACTTTGTGGAGTTGATTCTTTTGATCTTGGTGTAGGTTCTGGGGACCATATAGATCATTGAATCTTGACTTAAGAGTAGCATCTGAGGGGCTAAGGAGATGGCTTAGAGGCTAAGAGCGCTTGCTGCTCTTGCAAAGGACCCAGGTTCCATTCCCAGGTAACCAGCTCAGAGGCTGAATATGAATTGTAAATGCTAGGCTGATAGCTCGGACTTGTTCCTAGCTAACTTTTACATTTAAATTAACCCATAGTCCTTATTTACACCCTGCCATGTGGCAGTACCTTTTCTTAGTCCGGCATACCCATTTTGCTCTCTCTGCATCTGGCTGGCCACTCCTGGCTCTCCCTCCTAACTTTATTAAACCAGTCATAGTGATTTACACAGTGTACATACACACAGCTGTCTGTAACTCCAGTTCCAGGTGATCTGATACCTTCTTCTGACACCTGGTACAGTCCACATACATTCATGCAGGCAAAACACTCATCTATCTGAGATGCCATTTATTAGGGAGTGCTCTTGGGATCCATACTTCTGGAAAGGAGAAGGGTATGAAGTCTGCCAGAGGGAGAGTTACCTACTGTACAGGGAGATTTGAAACAGGAATCCTTCAGAGTCCCCAGATCTGGAATTGGGAAGATGGATTATTTACCTGTAATCCCAGCCCTTGAGAGGTAAGAACAGGATGATCAACAAGTTCAAGGCCCTATCTGGCTTACAGTGGGATCCTTTCTTAAAAACAAAACCCAGCAGAAAAAAAAGTTCCTGGGCTAATTATCTGTTTGAAATTAATACAAATAAGGTACTCTGTGGGCCTGGTTGGGGGCGTGGCTCAGTAGTAACTCGAATGCCTGTAATGCACAGGGCCCTGCCTTTGATCTGCAGCATTGCACAAAGAAAATACTTTAAACACTGATGTCAGAGAGCATGGAGAAAAAAACAGGGTTTTGGAGACCATCTAGTTCAAACTCTTATACTTCAGATAAGGAATGAGACCTCAGAGGCCAAGAGACTATATCCAGTTCTATGTGTATGTAAATAAAGGAGAGAGTACTTAGATGCAATCGACATGCTTGCACTGTATGTCTTTCTGCATTTGTCTAGGGATTCTGACTTAGAGCTATAAATAAACACACTCTGTAATTTTGAATTTTGAAAACACAAAAGGCTGTGTATGTGTCTTGTCTCCATCCACAGTCCTCTGTCACTAGTTTGGGGATGTTACTGTGAACCCTGATAATTCCCCTGCTGCCATATTATTTAATTAAAAGCTTCTTCATATCTCTACCCCAACCCACACTACCTTTTTTTTTTTTCTTCTTCTTCTTCTTTCTCCATTTGGCAGCTATGTGATTCTATTGAGGTGATCAAAGCTCAGTTCTAGTTCTTGCCTGGTCTTACAGCCATCTATGTGATTTTGTGCACCTGTCCTTATTTGTAGTTTCAGTTAGTTCCCCATGTAAAATTCAGGTAATAACTCTTGTTATTACCCTGCTTGCTTCAATACCCTGCTTGCTTCAAGGATCAAACAATGTAACATCTCCGAAAATACTTTTAGAAACAGCTAATACTCTAAAAAAAAAAACACCAAACAGTGGTTTTATCCTTATTACCCATCCTTCCTTCCCCTGCCTGACTTGCCTCCAGCTTGCTGGCTTCCTTCCAGAATTGTTTGGACAAGTAGCTACAGTGTTTGGAGTTTTCTCTGAACCATGAAATGTCATTCTTCAAACTCCCTTTTGACCAGTAGGAATGTAATTAAGAGTATTAGGAGCCACCAAAAATGAAAAGTTGTATTTGAAAGGGATGTTTCATTTCCATTGATAGATGTAGTACTGTCCTGCCCGCCATTGTAACAGAACTTACTATAGTGTTCAGAACATGGGCCAGTGAAGCATGATCCTAAGTTCCGCCCTCTGACCTCCAGGCAAACTTTATTTGTCAGAACACAAAGAAAATATCACAACAGCCCAGCTTGACTCTCCCTTCACCTCAGCCTCATTTCCTTGCTCCTTTCTTCCTTTTCTCCTGATGGGGTCCCTCTCTTTTTCTTCCCAGGCTCTTTGGTACAAGGCAAGGGTTCAGTGTACAGTTCTCAATCAGACGTCCAAGTTGCTGAGAATAACCGTGAGTAGGCCAAAGCTATGGAGGGCATCAGGATGGGTGGTGGTGGTGGTGGGAGGACATAGCTTATGGTTTGGGGCTACTTCTTTTTCTCTCTCATTTTGATCCTGCCTACAGCCGTCAAGCTGTCCTGTACCTACTCTGGCTTCTCTAATCCCAGAGTGGAATGGAAGTTCGTCCAAGGTGGCACCACCACACTTGTTTGCTATAACAGCCAGATCACAGGTAAATTGTCTTAATTGCTAAGATTGTGGAGTCATTGACACTGCCCAGCCTGGATTCCCAAGGTGGGGGCACACTCGGAACTCAAGGCAATGAGTACTTACTTCCCTTTAGTGGAGGATGAAGGATGTACCCTGAGTGCCACCTTCTTCTTTTCTTTGCTGTCCAGTTTACTTTGTTTCTTCTACTTCTGTCTCCTGGTAGCCTCCTATGCAGACCGTGTTACCTTCTCATCCAGTGGCATCTCTTTCAATTCTGTGACCCGGAAAGACACTGGAGATTATACTTGTATGGTCTCTGAGGATGGTGGCCAGAACTATGGGGAGGTCACCATCCACCTCACCGTGCTAGGTATGTGCCATATAACTTCATGCAGGCTTAAAACCAGTTGCTTCCCTAAACCTGATAATAGACTGCTAAGCTTTAAACCTTGCAGATGGGGAGGACATAGAGGGAGTTAGCACCCCACTCCCGCCACCCCGTTTGATGGGAACTAAGGGTGTACAGGCGGCACCTCTAGCTGATTTGTTGAGTGTTGTCCTGGTTTGTTACCTACACTCATGTAACCCTTTTGCCCTTGTATTCAGCACTTTTTTCTTTTACCCCTCCCTAGTGCCTCCATCCAAGCCGACTGTCAATATCCCCTCCTCTCTCACCATTGGGAACAGGGCAGTGCTGACCTGTTCAGAACAAGATGGCTCCCCGCCTTCTGAGTATTCCTGGTTCAGGGATGGGATAGATATGCTTACGGATGCCAAGAAAACCCGTGCCTTCATCAATTCTTCATACACGGTTGATCCAAAGTCAGGGGACCTGGTACGAAACGGGGAAGGGGCAGCCATAGAACCCCCGAGAGTGGGGAGGAAGAAACATTAGGGCTGACACGTCAGAGAACTAACAGGATAGGTGCTTGACTCGTTCGAGCAAGAAGCCAGCTTATTCTCTTCCGTCTAGATCTTTGATCCCGTGACAGCCTTTGACAGTGGCGAATACTACTGCCAAGCCCACAATGGGTTTGGGACAGCTATGAGGTCAGAGGCCGTACGCATGGATGCTGGTGAGTAAGAATGTGGCTGCAGCCTGAGATCAGAGCTGGGGTGTGATTAGAAGCTGATTTTTCAAGTGGTTACTGGCAGCACTGTCAGCAGCACAGTTGCGTGTCAAGGCACCTGACATCTCATTTGTGTCTCACAGTGGAGCTGAATGTGGGGGGCATCGTGGCAGCTGTCCTGGTAACACTGATTCTCCTTGGAGTCTTGATTTTTGGCATCTGGTTTGCCTATAGTCGAGGATACTTTGAAAGTAAGTATTGCCCCCTTACAAGCTTGTTTGTTTGTGATAGCCCAGGCTGGCCTGAAACTTTGTCCTCCAACTCACCGTGATCCTCCTGCCTCAGCTGTTTAAGTGCTGAGCACAGTAGCAAGTGCTTCTGTACCCAGTCAAAAGTCCTGTGTCTTTGCATGGTTTGTGGGTGACTATGGACCCTGATGCCATGCTCCATGTGCTGGTACCATCTTCCCAGGGAGCATGGATAACTTAACTAGCTTAGATCAAAAACCACATTCTACTTGCCCCGAATTCCCATGCCATGCTGCATTCTCTTCTGATAGTAATCATGGCCTCTTTCTTTTGCTTTTCTTTTTCAGGAACAAAGAAGGGGTGAGCTTGATACTGCGTGGATGTGTGTGGTTTGGAGCTGAGCTGGGCCCTGGGTGTGGGTGTGGGAGGAGTGGGGTGAAAGCAGTGGTTTTGGAGGGAATGATAACTTCACTTTGCACTCGGTTTTTCTGCAAAGTTTTGCATTCTGGTCCCTTATGTTGGCAAGGATACATTAATTGTTAGGGCCTGAGTGTCTTCCATTTCTGGTTTTCCCTCAGGACTGCACCAGGTAAAAAGGTGATTTACAGCCAGCCAAGTGCTCGAAGTGAGGTGAGTGTGCCTCCCCTCAGGAGGGGAGGCCTTCCACATCAAGTAGAAGTTTCTAGCCTGTTTGTGTGTTGATGAGCAAAACGAGACTGTGGTTGACTGGATGTTTTGTTCCCCAGGGGGAGTTCAAACAGACCTCATCATTCCTGGTGTGACCTGCTGCGGCTCATCTCTTCTCTACTTGCCTTATTACTCAGGTGCTACAGGTTCCAGCCCTTGCTGGCTGTAGCCGCACAGGATGCCTTCGATGTCTTCTAGGTCCCACAGGACCCCTTACTTTTATTTTAGCTAGGATGTGATTTCAGTAATGTCAGCTATTTTTCCTTCCTTACTCCTGCCCACCACCACTGGGTGGCCTGAGACTAGTTACAAAATTTCATTCCCTGTTCTTATGTGGGATTGGACAAGAGTCCTGGAATTGACAGCAAAAATGACTGGACTGATAGGAACCTGAAACCAGTACCTGGCTGGTAGGCCTTTGAAAGGACTTTAAGCCTAATTCCCCAGCTTTCTCCTCCCCTGATGAAGATGGGTGCCAGCTATCCCAGAGTGGGGACTGGAGAAGGGGGGCGGCACTGAAGTGTTTGCTGGTGACCTCAGCTCTTCAGTCTCTGGAGCCTTCTGTCCCCACAAAATGTGCCACTTGGATTCTCCTGGATACAAGCAAACTGACACTGCGTCCTCTGAGGTGGGAGAGCTTAGTAGTCAACCAAGACACTTGGAGTAAGAAAGATTTAAACTACTGATCTAAAGAAAATGTTGGGACTGGTAGCCTGCAGTCACTCTTCCCTTGGCTGGAACAACTTCACAGACCCTTGTAAGGTGTGTGTGTGTGTGTATTGGAGATGTGTGCATTATAGAGTATAGTGTTGGCTCTGTGGTGGGCTCTGTGTGTGTGTGTATATGTGTGTGTGTGTGTGAGAGAAAGAGAGAGAGAATAGTTGATTGTTATACAGAAGGGCTTCCCAGCTCTTTGACAAGGTTGTATATCTGTGTGTTTATATTAGACAGATGTTGTTGGAAATAAAAATGTGGTTTGTGAACCGTGTTTTTGTTGGAAATTGGGGAATGAGATCTTTAAGGGATGCTGGGCTCCTTTGTATAAACAGGAAAATGTTGGAAAGTTATGTTTCCCAACAACCTGTGGCTGGCCCCCAGGACTGTTTTCTTGGCTCAAGGCAACACTTCTGAAATGAGAACTGAGTGCTCAGCCTCCTGCTGCTAGGGTGAAGCTGGTTCTGTACTGGGAGGAAGTGGGTGGGTTCTATTTGCCCCTTTAGTCAAGTGGGGAACAAAGTGCCCATCTGCTGTTCGGTCCTGTATGTATTATGGACACGCCTAAAGGTTCTGAGGGAGTTTCCTGGTCATTTGAAGAACTACTTTAAATGTTTGAAACAGCAGGAATTAGCAGGATGGGTCTGGTGGTCATTGCTTTCTTCCATATGGGCCCCTGTCAGCCTTTGGAAACTAAGCACTCACTTAAGGGTCTTGCACCAATGCAGAGTTTTCCAGAGGATATAAAGTCCAATTGAACAATAAAAGAAAAACTTGAAAATGCTCAGTAAGGGTAAGGCCTTTTCAAGTATGTTTCAGTTGGGGGATGGGGTGGCAGCAGGTTAAGGGTAGATTAAAGGACTCAAGGTGATTCGTTGCCTTTTCATCCCTTGAGATTCCCCCAGGGACTTTTGATGACTATGAATCAGTTAAGAATCTTGGAGTTCACCTCTCCTGGTTACAATACCCCATGGAAATGCCATGTCTACTTTCATTTTACAATGTCAAAACTTCATTTTTGTAATGTTTATTTTTCACATTGATTTTGTTCAAATCTTGAAGTTCTACAGTACTGAGAATTGGTGCTCCTGCACTGGAGATAAGGCTAAGTTATTAAAGGACTTGCCTAGCATGCCTAAAGCCCTGGGTTGGACCCCCAATACTGCATAAAATCACTTGTGATCCCAGCCTTTGAGAGGCAGAGGCAGGAGAATCATAAGTTCAAGGTCACCCTCAGCTAACCAGCAAGTTTGAAGTCAGCCTGGGCTACTTGAAACCTTTTCTCAGAAACAGCCTAAAAGTAAAAGATGGGTGAAGTAAAATTAGGAGGGGGAAATAATAATTGGGACTCCAAAAGTGACTTGAACATCTAAAATTTTCCTGGTAGTCTTGTTATTTGAAATTAGGGATCTCTGTTTACATATCTCTTTGAAACATTAGTCTTTAATTATAAATATGTACATGTGTGGGGTATATGCAGGTGCCAGGGAGGCCACACGAGGGCATTGGATTCCCCTTGACCTTGAGTTAGAGGCAGCGTGGATGCCTTGCTGGGAACTAGACTAAGGTTTTGTGGAAGGAACAGTCAGTGCTCTTAGCCTGCTGAGCATCTCTCTGATAGCCACATTAAAAATAGATACATTTTAATTTAGCTTTTTTTTAAAAAAAAAAAAAATAGGCTTGTTCTTGAATGAGAATGACCTAGAAATTGCTGCTATATTAAAGATTTGGGAATGGGGGGATGGGCCAATCCCTTGGATGTTTCCATGAGATAGGTACTCACTCTGGAATGAAATAATAGAATGTCAAGGATACATTTGTTGTCGTCCCCCCCTTTTAATTTAATTTAATTTTTTTTTTTTTATTTTTGGTTGTGAGCCTAGCCTTAGACATCTGAGCTATCCTTCCAGCCTGTCCCTTTTTGTTTTGTTTTATTTGTTGGATTTGTTTTTGACACAAGGTTTCTCTGTGTAGCTTTTGGAGCCTGTCCTGGAACTTGCCTGCACTCAAACTCATGGAGTGCTGGGATTAAAGGCATGTGCCATCCCCGCCCAGTCCCCCCTTTTTTTTTTTTTTTTTTTTTTTTTTTTTTTGCCAATGTGTGCTTTGATGTGCACAATATTGTGTTACAGCTGGTGAGGGGTTGGGTCAGGCATTACACCTGCTGCAGGAGTCAGGATTGAGGAGAAGCCTGTTGTCGCCCGCTAGCCACATGTCATGGAGCAGAGCTGTTGCTGTATCCTGGCCCTGGGCTGGAGTCCCTATGTGGCTCCTGGTTGAGTCCTTTTCCTTTTTTTTTTTTTCAAGATTTATTTATGTATTCTGTAGTACTCTGCCTGTATATGTCCCTGCAGGCCTGAAGAGGGCGTCAGATCTCATTATAGATGGTTGTGAGCCACCTTCTGGTTGCTGGGAATTGAACTCAGGACCTGTGGAAGACATCCAGTGCTCTCAACCAATAAGCCCCAGCCCCGAGTTCTCTTTCTTTTACTGAGTTCCTGCTTTCTTATAGAACCCAGGATCATCAGCCCACAATAGGCTAGACCCTACCCCATAAATCACTAGTTAAGAAAATGCTCTACAGGTTAACCCACAGCATGATCTCATGGAGGCATTTTCTCAATTGAGGGTTCCGCCTCTCAGATGGCTCTAGTTTGTGTCAAGTTGACATAAATGTAGCCAGCACAGTAATCTATAAGAAGCTTTTTAAATTCTTAAGCTCCAGTATATTTATTATCCCTTCTCTGGCTTTGGGTATGAAACTCCAGTATGAAATGGAAATTTTCTTTTTCGAGACAGGAATTGATTTTCTTAATTTATGTAGATAAGAGCTTTGCATATGTCTGTGCATGTGTGCCTGGTGCCAGTGAAAGCCAGAACAGGGTAGGGTGTCAGATCCTCTGGAACAGAAGTTACATACAGTTGTGAGGTGCATTATGGGAATTAGACCTGGTCCTCGGCAAGACAGCTGGTTCTCTTCTAAGCCATCTTTCCAGCACGTGTGTGTGTGTGTGTGTGTGTGTGTGTGTGTGTGTGTGCACGCACACACACACACACACACACGTTCTCCCTCTATATAGCCCAAACAAAGAGACAAAGCATGGAACTTCCCACTTCCCTGACCTCTTACCTTTTGAATAATAGGATAATGGGACTACAGGCATTCACCACCATGGCTAGTAGAACCTTTTTTCAAACATGAATTACTAGGTGTTATTACTAACCCATTTCACGGGCACAGAAAAGCCAAGGAACTTGTCACATCCCTTTGTATCCCCAACTCTGGATGGAGACATGTAGCTAGAAGGAGACTTTAAGGAGAAAATAATGGGCTGGGGATATAGCTCAGCTGGAAGAGTACTTGCCTGACAAACTCCAGGTCTTGGGTTCAATTCCTAATACCTTAAGAACAAAAGCCAGCAGCCAGTTGTGGCCCATCCTTGTACAGAGGCAGGAGGATTAGGAATTCAAGATCTTTTTCAGCTGCAATGAGTTGAGAACAGTCCAGGCTAAGTGAGACCATGTCGATAATAATAAAAGTAAAGCCTGCCTAAGAAATGTAATTGGTTATTTCCTGTCCCAACTGCCTGTTCCCAAATACCTGGCAGCCATTTCCCATATTACCACACAGAGGTTTATATTAGTTATAAATGCTCAATCGATAGCTCAGGCTTGTTACCAACTAGCTCTTACATGTAAATTAACCCATTTCTATTAATCTGTGTACTGCCACATGGCTTGTGGTTTTACCTGCCCTGGGTGGCTCACTGGTGTCTCTCATTCCACCCTCTTTCTTTCCATCATTCTTAGTTTAGCTTTCCTGCCTAACTTTTTGCCCAGCTCACGGGCTTCCAGCTTTTTATTAATCAATGAGAATGATACATACTCATAACCGGTAGTAAAAGATTGTTCCATAGCAAATAAAGGTTGGCATAATGGTCTATTCGCCCTATCAGTGTTTTCCACGGTGGTCCTTTGGTCATTAATCATTCACCGGTGAGAGTTGTATGTTTTTCATTCACCTGAAAAGGTAGCCAAAGCAAAAATCCTGAACAAGGTGTCTTCTGGTTCTGCTTTTGTGTGATGTATGTTCATGCAGTGTGCACATGCATGTGGAAATCAGTGTTAGATGTCTTCCTCAATAGCTCTCCACCTCTCTCACTGAACCTAGAGCTCACCAATTTGTCTAGACTGGCTGGCCAATGAGCTCCAGGGAACCGACTTACGAAAGAAAGCTTTTCATTGGGGGCTTGCTTACAATTTCAGAGACTTAGTTCATTATCAGCATGGCAGGGAGCAGCCTGGCAGCATGCAGAAAGGTACTGGAACAGTAACTGAGTTTACATCCTGATCTTCCTGATCCCTAGGTAGAGACAGTTGGGTCTCTGTGAGTTCGAGGCCAACCTGGTCTACAGGTCGAGTTCCAGGACAGGTTCCAAAGCTACATAGAAAAACCCTGTCTCAAAAAAACAAAACACTTCCTGACAACCATGCCCCCTGGTTGGGGTGGGTTAAGGCTGCTTACTGAGCAAACACAAGGATCTAAGTTTGAATCCTGAGCACCCACACGAAAAGCTAGATGTCTATAACTCTTTGGTGGACCACAGAGATTACTGGGGACTGATGGCCAGCCTAATTTGCTTTTGATGAGAGACCCTGTCTGGAGGGAATAAAATGGAGTTTGACAGAGGAAAATGCCCAGCATCCTCCCACAGCCTATGGGGTGAACACGGGGACCAGCATCTACCACATGTATGCATATCCCAAAACGTATGCACATCCCTTACACAGGAGTATACTTCTCTCTACCTACACAAAACAAAAGAAGTTAGATGGTTCAAAATACTCATTCAAAAAAAATATTTGTTTGTTTTTCAAGATAGGATTTCTCTGTGTAGCCCTGGCTGTCTTTGTAGCCCTGTTGCTCTGTAGACCAGACTGATCTGGAACTCCCAGAAACCCACCCACCTCTGCCACCCAAAGTGCTGGGATTAACTGTGTGTACCACCACCTGGCAAATCTTTTTTTTTTTTTTTTAATCTAAACTTATCAAATTTTCCTAATCACTAAAGGTTAAGGACTTGAATTTTGAGTTGATCCCTTCTGTTCTTTGTCAATAAAAACCTCCACCGTTTAATTGGCATACTCCCAAGATGAAAAAGGGACCCAGTTTGGGTACAAATATTGGTACCAACTTTTTTGCTCAGCCCTGTGGAATACTTTTTTGTTTTTATGAACTAAAGTGTTGTCATTCTAGATTTGAAAATCT